GCTCTATACAACCAAGAGGTTAAGGATAGATAGCCTGCACAGCTAACTAGGATGCTGAATATACTTCAGCAATCTAGGATAGGTTACGGTAGGTTAATCGTTACCTTAACGCCCGTATGAACCTCGGTCGCTACCCTAAACCCCACGTAAATGCGCTCTAAACAACAAAAAGGTTAAGGGTAGATAGCCTGCACGGCTAACTAGGATGCTGAATATTCTTCAAGCAATCTAGGATAGGTTACGGTAGGTTAATCGTTACCTAAACACCCGTATGCACCTCGTTCGCTACCCTAACCCCACGCAAATGCGCTCTAAACAACAAAAAGGTTAAGGGTAGATAGCCTGCACAGCTAACTAGGATGCTGAATATTCTTCAAGCAATCTAGGATAGGTTACGATAGGTTAATCGTTACCTAAACACCCGTATGCACCTCGTTCGCTACCCTAACCCCACGCAAATACGCTCTAAACAACAAAGAGGTTAAGGATAGATAGCCTGCACAGCTAGCTAGGATGCTGAATATTCTTCAGCAATCTAGGATAAGTTACGGTAGGTTAATCGTTACCTAAACACCCGTATGCACCTCGTTCGCTACCCTAACCCCACGCAAATGCGCTCTAAACAACAAAAAGGTTAAGGGTAGATAGCCTGCACAGCTAGCTAGGATGCTGAATATTCTTCAGCAATCTAGGATAAGTTACGGTAGGTTAATCGTTACCTAAACACCCGTATGCACCTCGTTCGCTACCCTAACCCCACGCAAATGCGCTCTAAACAACAAAAAGGTTAAGGGTAGATAGCCTGCACAGCTAACTAGGATGCTGAATATTCTTCAAGCAATCTAGGATAGGTTACGGTAGGTTAATCGTTACCTAAACCCCCGTGTGAACCTCATTCGCTACCCTAAACCCACGCAAATGCGCTCTAAACAACAAAGAGGTTAAGGGTAGATAGCCTGTACAGCTAACTAGGATGCTGAATATACTTCAGCAATCTAGGATAGGTTTCGGTAGGTTAATCGTTACCTAAACGCCCGTATGAACCTCATTCGCTACCCTAAACCCACGCAAATGCGCTCTAAACAACAAAAAGGTTAAGGGTAGATAGCCTGTACAGCTAACTAGGATGCTGAATATACTTCAGCAATCTAGGATAGGTTACGGTAGGTTAATCGTTACCTAAACGCCCGTATAAATCTCGGTCGCTACCCTAAACCCACGCAAATACGCTCTAAACAACAAAGAGGTTAAGGATAGATAGCCTGCACAGCTAGCTAGGATGCTGAATATTCTTCAAGCAATCTAGGATAGGTTACGGTAGGTTAATCGTTACCTAAACACCCGTATGCACCTCGTTCGCTACCCTAACCCCACGCAAATGCGCTCTAAACAACAAAAAGGTTAAGGGTAGATAGCCTGTACAGCTAAGTAGGATGCTGAATACACTTCAAGCAAACTAGGATAGGTTACGGTAGGTTAGTTTGGATAACTAAGACCCCCCACTATCCTTTAAAGATCCCAATTAATCAACAGGCTAACGCTAGCTATGCGAGCACTAAAACAGCTATCCTTATAGTTAATTCTGTTTCGTAACTCTCTCTACGTTTTAATTAAATACCAGAAATTCGTTAAGCATACAATATAGGGTAATAGGCTATAGAATGGCGTACACTGCCCAAAGGATGCTGCTTGTACTTCAGCAAAAGGAGGGATGTTTGGAAGGCAACATTGAGTTTATATGACGTTATATTACACAAGCTTAGGCTATTGTCACCCTCAAATTATATAGCTCTCCAATAACAACTAGGCTAAGGCTTAACCTATTAAATCACTCCTTAACTGCGATACAAGAGGGTTTAGATATTTGAGTAGCGTATTCCGCCCAAAGGAGGCTGCTTGTACTTCAGCCAAAGGAGGGATATTGGAAGGTGACACAGAGGTTATGTAATATAAGATGGGTAGGTAAAAATCCTTTAAAATACTCAATCGGCCTTACTAAGCTTTTGCTTTCCTCAATAGCCTAATGTATGCAAATTCGTCTGGATTTTATATCGCTAGTCGGCAAAATTTCTTTAACTTCAAAACTAGTTATTTCACAATTTAAAATCTAAAAATTGCAAAAATACCAATTAATCACTGATCAAAATCGAAAACTTCGTTTATCGGGAACAAATTATCGTAAATCAATTATTCAACATCGATCGTAAATATCCAAACGTAAAACAATCTAATTCCCTGAATCATAAAATGATGTCAAGTAGGCACTATACCTTAGAGAGAGAGACGTGTTGATCGGGTCACAAAATGGCGCAGACTGTCCGGTGGCGCCCGGTCCCAGTGGTTTTGTTGCACGTCTGGGCCGGTCATGCGCAGAAACCAGTTTTGGCAGTCCGTCCGACTCGGCCTCGGCGGCGGCTACATCGGTGCTCGCGCTAACTACTTGAGCCTCGCCTCGCCATGCTTAACCTCAAAATCGTTGATCGTTCGTACTACTATGATGATCCTCAAGTAAAAACATTTTTGTCTTCCGATTTCAGCCGTGATATGATAAAAAAAAGGTGAGGTGTAAAAAATCAACCCTTACACAATAATACAAGAAGATGAAGAATTCAAGTATCTATATCTATCTATCTATCTTCTATATATTAATAGGCAAGCATGTTTCTTTAAAACCTTTTTTCTCAGCTCGTGTGTATCGTAGGGAAAATCTACGCATACCGTTAGAAATATATGTTCCTGTAGAAGTGCAGAATCCCTTTAAAAATTAAAATAGGCTCAAATATAAGCACAAAAAATCAATTTGAAATTTTTAAAATATAACATGGGCTTTATGGGTTGCCATGATGGTGACGAAATAACAACGAAATATAAACAGAAAATCAAAACAAATGGGAGAAATTCCAACCACAAGTTTTATTTACAGCGAGGGGTGAAAATAGAGAAGCCTGAACCTTTACATTCCATTCCCAAGTTAAATTTGTCACCAGTTTTTTTTTTAATTAAATTCGTCGTAGTTGATGTGAGCCACCAGACTGCGCTGATCTAAAGTGACTAAATTTCTATCAAATACACGATGTTTTTTACCAAGTCAAACTGTTCGAATTAGCTATAGCAACTGTTATGACCCATCAGCTTTGTCAGCAACAAAAAATAAGGTAGAAAATAGAATTAAAGACATGCTTTTGGTGAATGGCTCACACAACTACATGTTTAAAAAAATGGCGACAGCTGGTCCATATAGATGGAAAGTCTACTTCAGTATCCAATAGTCAATACGTGTACGTTACATGTTTTTCGTTGAGTTTTCGACCTCTAGTCTTCTTCTATATCTTAATAGGCAAGCATGTTTCTTTAAAACCTTTTTTCTCATGCATCACAGGGAAAGTCTACGCATACTGTTAGAAAGATATTTACCTAACCCGCCATGTTAAACTTCCCTATCCCAAGTGTGATGTATATAACTTCGTTACTTCTCGAGTGATGTAAAGTTGAAAAAAACTCACTCGGTGATGTAATGAAACCCATTTAAATAACATTGAGTGCTTAACTTAAAAAATATACCTCTATGGAGCCAACGACGTTCAACGCTAGAAATCAGCTGTGCGCTTGAATTTTATTGTTATGTTTTGAAGAATTTTCCTAACCTAGCTATGGTTTGTAAATGAACGTTACTGTTAGAAGATAAGTGAAATGGACAATGAAAAATATTGTTTGTAACCTCCTGTATATTGTCGGGTCAGGTAAAATCTTGTACGTTACACGTTACGCAAGAGCGTGTTTATATCACTTCGGTAAATTATGCAACTCGCTTCCGCTCGTTGCACAACATTCACCTGCGTGATGTAAAAACGCTCTTACTACACTTGTAAGATAAATAGCTATTTCCTGTAGATGTGCAGAATCCATTTATAAACTAAAATAGGCTCAAATATAAGCACAAAAAATTAATTTGAAATTTTACAAATTTAACATGGGCTTTATGGGTTGCCATGCTGGCGACGAAATAACAACGAAATAGAAACAGAAAATCAAAACAAATGGAAGAAATTCCAATCACTTGTTTTATTTACAGTATGGGGTGAAAATGGAGAAGCCTGAACCTTTACATTCCATCCCCATGTCAAAGTTCTCACCAGTTTTTTTTTTTTTTTTTTTTTATTAAATTCGTTGTAGTTGGTGTGAGCCACCAACAGACTGCGCTGATCTAAATGACTAAATGTCTGTTGAATACACGATGGTTTTTACCAAGTCAAACTGTTTGAACGAGATATAGCAACTGTTATGACCCATCAACTTTGTCAGCAACAAAAAATAAGGTAGAAAATAAAATTGAAGACACACGTTCGGTGAATGAATCACACAACTACATGTTCTTTTTAATAAAAAAAAAATTGTGACAGCTGGTCCATATACAGATGGGAAGTCTACTTCAGTATCCAATATTCAATACGTGTACGTTAACTTACATGTTTTTGGTGTTTTTGGACCACTAGTTCAAGTAAGTAAGTGAACAACACACATGATAAACTTGTAATTTTCAAACACACCATTACCATTTTACTAAACAAACTAAGGCCCCGTTTATGCACCAAGTGCGGTAGCGGTAGCGACAGCGGGAGCGATTTCTAACACCATTGAGTTAAATGGGGCTGTTTATGCACCAAGAGCGATAGCGATAGCGGTTGACCTCCCGCTGCGATTTCTAATTCGCCCGCTGTGTAGTTAGGAATCGCAGCGGTTGCTTGGGCTGAAGCCAGGGTTGCCAACTTGACCCACGCGCACGTGCACTTAGGACAAATAGTTGTGTTAATTATTTGGCAGAGTTTGAGTTGGCAAGACTGTGTCCCCCTTCCATTCTCCTTTAACCAACCGCTACCGCTATCGCTCTTCGTGCATAAACAGACTCATTTACAGCGGGAGCGGGCCCGCTATCGCACCGCTCCCGCACTTGGTGCATAAACGGGGCCTAAGGTAAATTGGAAAAAAATAAACTCTTACAATTCATTGTGACTTTATTATTACTTAAGTAATATGAGGTAACTAAAAAAAAGCAGTCTTGTCATATCACAACTTTTGGTAGAACTAGAACTAGACAGTAGACATTATTTTTATTATTGCAAAAACTTAACTTATATGTGGTAAATTTTACATGATACCCAATACAAGAGGAAAATACTTTTAATCTAAAATGTTTTCAACTACTTCAAACACCACTGTAATTTTTAAAAAGTTGAAAAGTTATGTCCAAAGTTAACAATTATTGGCATAAAGTGGAAATGTTGAAGGCCTAAGCTTATTTGAAATAGGTCTACCTTATCTATATATTAATAGGCAAGCATGTTTCTTTAAAACCTTTTTTCTCAGCTCTTGTGAATCGTAGGGAAAATCTACGCATACCGTTGGAAAGCTATTTTCCTGTAGGTGTGCAGAATCCCTTTATAAATTTAAATATTCTCAAAGATAAGCACAAAAATGAGTTTAAAAATTTGAAAAAATTAACATGGATCTTATGCGTTGCTATGCTGGTTACGAAATAACAACGAAATATAAACAGAAAATCAAAACAAATGGAGGAAACTCCAATCACATGTTTTATTTACAGTGTGGGGTGAAAATAGATAAGTGAGTACATTACATATTTTTGGTCGAGTTTCGACCACTGGACGACCTCTCGTTAACTGTTAATAAGTAAAAAAGAAAAAAAAAATATGGAAGTATTTTAGAAGTCTTCAAGTATGTAATTATTACTTTCACTAAATAGTGTTAACGTTCTAGATTTTAAGAACTAATGCTACCATAATATGGAAATTGCACCTGGAATAATATTCTTCATCTAAGGCAACAAGCAACATTATATTAACCCGTAGCTAATGGTATTCTGTGCTCTGAGCTAATGGAACATAGCAAATAAAGTTGTAAACCTCACCTAACCTATTTTAAGTCTGCTAGCACATTGCAGAATTCTTTCAAATATATTATATATACATACAAAATAATTTTAAATATGTTTTACTTAGATTACTTAAAAAATATGGAAATGGAAATACAATTTAAAAACTTAAATACAGTCTTAAATCACAAATCAGTTGTAGTTTTACAAGTCATTGAGCAGCTTGATTCCTTATGACTAAAACAAAATCAATATAAGTGGACTCACTGACTGACTATATTTTTTCTATGCACTGAATTATCAAATATCTCCAGTTAACCCCCATTACTGAATGATTGGGGGTTTATTTGTCATTTAGATTATTAAAGTCCAAATTAAATTAAATGATCTCAAAATAAAGATAAGCAGTGCTACTTTGAAATTATTACGAGGTAACAAGTGTTATTAAGCTTGGGGGTATAAGGTAAGTAGCCAAGAACGTTCTTAGAATGCTTCAAAATTGATTAACACTTTTTAACTAGGCTCTAGCGTGGGAATCGTTTTTACATTACTTCAATCTAGACTCTATGCCTAGCCTGCAGCATCATCAAATATATTAGTAATTGGTGGGATTTGAACTAGAGCACCTAAGTCACGCAGTCAACCATTACACCAGCTAGTCTCTCAAAATGTCTGCTAAAACCTTAAAACCTACTTAGTGTACCTTTTTGTAAAATGGTGTTACCGTGGAAATAAATGAATTGAATTGAATTGAATTCTCCATAAACACACATAACCGTCAAATATACCATCAGTGTCACCGGACACTGATTCTCTGGCCTAATGTGGAGCCTGTGTCCGAGAGGGACCGTTTCCAACCCACGGTTTGAATACAACAAATAATAACAAGGTCAAATAATATTTATGTAACAATGACAATATCATACTGTTGCAACAACAATTTTGTCAGTGACCACATGCTGTGCAACCATAGCCATGTCCAAGGTCTTAGGTATGGGGATGTCAGACCTTCCGGAGGGTTATGGAGTTTGTCCCTCTGAAATTTTTTTAAAATTGGAGGTAGAGTAGCAGTTTTTTTAACGATTTGTAAGACAGTTTTACTGTTTTACTCTAATTTTACACTGATTGCCGTTTGTGATTCGGATATTTAATTTTTTCTTTAAGTGCAAATTTTGAATATTTTACACAATCACACAAATTGTCTTGTGCACACGACACTGCGTCTGGTCAAACGGTTTGATATCTAAGTATCGCAATACTCGATTGCATGCAAGCATCATCTGCATCAATCTTGTACTATAACGCATTGTCTGACTAACTCATCTATGATTGAAACATAGGCCTAACTAATAAAAAATGGTAGATAGATACCAGAACTAATTTTGTAAAAAATCCCATAAGTCACGCCTACACATACAACTAAATTCATAGAGAACAGCGGTACATTTCTAACATAGCTGTAGGAATTTTTAGAGATTGCTGTTAAATGGCTGTTTTTATTAATGAGGAGTTAATGTAGGTATGTTAAAAATTATCTTAATTTTCAAGTGGCAAGTTTAAAAATGCAAAGGTACAGAAATGTATTTCAATGTTTTTAGGTAATACTACTGAGTTTTAGAAGTGAGAATGCTCACACAAAAGGGAAATTCTAGTATTGCAAAGACGTTGTAGTAGGCTATAAAAATGTCTTATGTTCATATTATAGAGGTTAAAAATCTTGTACAGCTCACAAATTAGAAATTTCAATAACAATATACAATGGCAGAATAAACAGCACTTTGATCTGAGAAGACAAAAATCTTAAGGCAAGTTAAACTTAAAAAGAATTACAACACATTTTATTTCTATAATATTTTTGTTACCCTTAATTTGAATAATTTGTTTTCATAATAAAATGTTATTATAAAAATATGCTAATGTTACATTAAAATATCTAGCAGAGCTTAGTAATAATTAACAGATGAATTTAAAAAATATCTAATAGCAGCTTCTTTCAAAAATCACAACCATTCATTTAATCTAGAAACGCTCTTTTCTCTTTAAACGTAGAAGACGCATCTTAAAAATATAGGAAGAAGGCCACAATCATGTGTTAAATTAATTGATGCACCAAAATTGAGATGGTACACAGCCAAATTGAATACAATAATGTGCAAGTGATAAAATTCCCAATCATGTTCATTACCGGTTATGCAAAAAGTTAGGACAGCAAAGAGGAGTATTAATTGCAATACTTACGATGCTTCAAAATTCAATAAGTAGTCCCTCTATAATTTGGCCCTCGATAATCTGGACGCTCCAGTAATCCGGCTTGATTCCCTCCCACAGAATGAATCATAGCCTAAAAAGTTCAGTACGGTAAATTATTGAACATTCTATAATTTATTGTAGTTTACTAAAATATGAAATTGAAAACATTGCATTGCAGTACTAATTACACAATTAATTATAGTAAGCTCTTGTAGTAATTAATCACCCACAACCCTGAAAAGCACTGTTGAAACAGTACTGGCAAGTGGATAGGGGACATAATACGGAATTCACATACGCTCACTCGCCAAACGCTCAAAATAAAACAATAATATAAAGGTCCTTCAGCGGTCTCAATTTCTTGAATAGTCAATATAACTTATGAACTTAAATTATCTCTAGATGGACCGCCTTTTCCTCAGTCCACCGCCCATTTAAGCCAGATTATCGAGAGACTACTGCACTTTATAATACGTCCATTGCCAAACTGGTGCATATTTGGGCACATAGGCCTATTGTGTATTTGATACATTGGAAAATGATAACGTCCATAAGAATGAATTAATCAGAACTGATAATACAGAACAATTTAGCCTAAGTGTTGAAAGAACTATCTGATAGATATCGATAATGGAGTACAGTAGACAATATAACTTAAGGCCTAGGAAAATATCACAAGGATTGAGTTCCAGTTACACTACAATATCTTAAAACAAATATTGCGCTGAAATAATTACCAAACAATGTAATACACAATAAAAGAAAGCTTTACTAAAATGAATAGGCCTATTTCTAAACACATTAAATTCTTTCTAAGGTATAAAAAAACAGATTTAAAAACCACTTAGAGATAGGGTAGGCTTAATTAAAAAAACAACAGCATGAACATAAAATTAACTCCTTGTTTAGGGACATTTAATATATTTGAATAACAAAGGGCCACTGAAAAATGTATCAGAGATTTTTAGATAATGACTAGAGTTGACAAATGTAAAAATTTAAAAAGGAGGCTATCCATTAGGTTTAAACTTGATCAAAAAATACATTTTAATCTAAAAACTCCTGTATGGTATTAGAACTCATAATTTTGTTTTAAATAGCCTAATCTAAATACTATATGTTTTGTGACAAAAAAATATATGGAACATATAAAAATTGCTCTGGAATTTTTAATTGAAGAATTGTAGGCCTTAAATATAAAATGCATAAACCCTATGAATAATTGTATGCAACAGTTTGGTTGTTTGGTTGCTTGCCAGGCTGCTGTAGGTATAAAATGTATATTGGCTAATCATAATATTTTCTTTGCATCAAATTTGGCCTAGTAAGTTAAGCTTTTTATATCCTGAGTTATGACTAACAAGACTCAAAGCACTAGACCTAATATATACTTACGGACTTAATGATCCAATTTTTTTCTGAACCACCAAAAGATGTATGTCCATTACATTTACACCTGTATGACCAGTGACAATGAGATCTCTTCCTTTGTTGAAATGACGGTAGAAGTTATGTGAATCATTCCTGCGAAGGTAATCTTGGGGATCAATGCCTTCTTCTATCGCATGTTTTATTTGCCCTGAGTAAGTAAGTGCTCCAGCTGCATTTGTAGGCCCATCAACTCCATCTGTGCCACCACTCAAGAATATTACATCACAGTTCACAAGATCTGAATCATTAGTTTCATGTTCGTACAACTTTGATCCGATCCTTAGAGCTAACTCTTGGTTACGACCACCTAATCCATCGCCAGTGACTTTGACAGTTGGTTCTCCGCCAAAAATTAGACAAAATTTTTCTGCTTCAGTACCGTGATTAAGAACATAAGCATAAATGCTCTCTTTAACATGTTTGTCAACCTTCATATGATCCAATATAGGATTTATTTCATTTATAAAGTCACCAAGAGCAACTTTCTCCTGAAGAAGTTTACACAACAAAGATATTAATCTCATGTACAAGTCTGCTACCTCTGATACAAAACCACTTATTGAATCCGTTATGATGACAGGATTGAAACCAAATGCTGCACATTCTCTAGACGCAGCTTCTAGTGCAATTCTGTTGTTCCCGATCAAAACATTTTGAACATGGTCCGCCAGAGTTTGATTTATATCACTTGGTCTTTTTATTGCATCCAGAACTGACAGCGATACTTTATCAGTAAGTTCATATTTTTCGATTATCTTAATAGCAGCATCGTCCGGATCGTGATTCCCCACTGTCGGACCACTAGCTATAATATCTAATGGATCTCCAATCACATCTGACAAAATTAAGGCTACCATTTTACAAGGATATGCTATTGAGGCAAGGCCTCCTCCTTTAACTAGTGACAGTCGCTTGCGGACAGTATTCATTTCAACTATGTTGGCACCAGAACTACCCAATAATTTGATAACCTCTAATTTCTCCCTTAGGGATATTGGAGGTTTTGACAAGGATAATAAAGAAGAACCTCCACCAGATATCAGAACTATCAAAATATCACTTTCTTGCAAACTTTCCGCCAACTTTTTTATCTCTTTAGAAGCGGTCTCAGAGCCCTCATCAGGCAGATTATTTTCAGCACCCTCAAAAATAGATATTCGAGAACTGTCAGACAAGTCATTAACATCTAATCTGTTGGATGTCATGTATCCTTTAGGAACACTAATAATACCTCTTTGAAGATCTTTTCCCAAGATGTGTTCCACTTTGCTTGCCATGCCTAAAACACATTTTCCGAATCCTATAAGATAACAGTTTTTGTTTAAGCGATAGCACTGTTCCCTTATGTGCAGTGTACTATTTAACACTAAAATTTCACGCTGAACTAGGTCAGGAGGATTTACTGCGAGCACCGATTTCCTGAAAACCAATCTCGATAAATGTTGTACGTCAGAAGTATGCATTATAGACAAGTAAACTGTAGAAGTTATTTTACCCTGAGGCTTAACAGAATTGAGCCTTTTGTTAAGCGCAGTTTTAATTACTCTTGATAAGAAAATCATTATGTAACTTTAATTATGATAACATTATATGTTACATAAAGGCACTTCAAAATGAAAACAACAATCGATCCTTAGATTCAAACACAAACAATGTCAACGTAACCGTAACGTAACGAAACATTAACATTCCGATTCCATATAAGTTAACCTCTATTATCTTACGTTTCATCGTCTGCTCTGCTTTCAGGTTTTATCAACTTCACAGCTGACAACGTGTTATCATGCACGTCGCTTCACACAAACCCATACAAGTTACAAATAAAATACCCCCGCCGCAGCAAACCTGCAGACTAAGCGAATTTCCATTTGCCTGATTGGATTTACACTAAAATGTCTCCTTAAAAATATCACATTTATTCCCTATTTAAATAGAACCAGTTTAACACATACTTAGGTTTGCTGCAACAGGGAGGGTAAAAGTGTTTTTTTATGTAAAATGTTAATAGTTAGTAAGAAATAAAAACATTTTCCAAATTTGGGCAAAATATGTTAATAAACAAGCAAACTACAACAGTTTACTTATTCTCCATAAGAATAACATGGGAATTTTAAATTAACAATTTTTTGGAATTTTCTCCGTAACCATTAGGCGCATTATAACGCTTCAATATACTAAATTATTTGTTTTTTTAATCTCTACAAAATAGTTTGGAAAGAAATTGCAAAATTTTATGTTTTTTGGGTCAAAAATTGGAAAAACCCATTTTTACCCCATAAAAGCCCCCATAAACCCCCGTTCCCATGGTCCGATCATGCTGGTTCGCGAACTCGTTCGAATAAACGTAGGTTTACACGTTTGTACCAAATTTAATCAAAATCGGATCATTTTTGCTCTAGTAATCGCGCTAACGGACACACATATATATATATGAATTTGAACGGATGGTGTTTTTGGCCTCTAGGGACCTCAAAACGAAAAAAAAATCAGTCCCGGGTCCAGGTCTTACCATGAGTACTACGATAATAGCTTATTCCCTATATGGGAAATTCGCTAAAAACAGATTATTCGATTGTGCTTTAAACATTAAAATCGCCGTTGATTAAGTGTCTAGTGTCTCTGGGAGATGTATGATCAATGATGTCAAGTCACTACGTGGGAGAGAGAGGTGTTTGGCCGAAGCCCAGCGGTCCCTCCACCACCCCTGGTTTAAGTCAGAGACTTATTCACCAGGCCGCTTTCCTGAAATATCTTCGGATTCCTCTTCCTGCTGTCAGCTTCAATCCATGTCCTTCCAGGCACATTCTGTGCCTAACCAACACCTCTCCCCTCACCTAGTACCCTCTGTACTAGGGTCATCGGATTTTTTTCTTTCTTTCCAATCTTCTTGAAGCTTATTTCGTGGGGGAGAGAGAGAGAGAGAGAGAGAGAGAGAGGGAGAGAGAGAGAGAGAGAGAGAGAGAGAGAGGAGAGAGAGGGAGAGAGAGAGAGAGAGAGAGAGAGAGAGAGAGAGAGAGAGAGAGAGAGGGAGAGGGAGAGAGAGAGAGGGAGAGAGAGAGAGAGAGAGGGAGGGGGAGAGAGAGGGAGAGAGGGAGAGAGAGAGAGAGAGAGAGAGAATAAACTTACGTATCGCATTGATATATCCTTGGGCAGTTATTAAATTAGCAATTTTAGCGAATTTCCCTATAGGGAAGTAGCTATTACCGTAGGTGGCACGGTAAGACCTAGACCCGGGACCGATTTACTTTTTCATTTTGATGTCTCCAGAGGCCAAAAACACCATTCGTTCAAATTTTTATATATAGACTTATATATATATATACGTCCGTGAACGCGATAACTTGAGTAATTTTTGTCCGATTTTGATGAAATTTGGTTTAAAGGTGTAAAGCGGGATAAACTTGAATGAGTTCGCGAACCAGCATGATCGGACCATGGGAACGGGGCTTTACGGGGGGTTTTATGGGGTAAAAATTGGGGTTTTCTCACTTTTGACCCTCAAAACATAAAATTTCCTAATTTCTCTTTAGACCTTTTTAAATAGCTTAAAAAAACAATTAATTTAGTACATAAAAGTATTTTTGTTCGGTTAATAGTAACGGAGAAAATTAAAAAAATTGTAAATTTAAAATTCCCATGTTATTCTTATGGAGAATATTGTAAAATGTTGTAGTTTGCTTGTTTATGGATATATTTTGTATTTTGATCAAATTTATTTATTTTGTACTAAGCTATCAATATTTTACAAAAAAACACACTTTATTAGTTTCCTTGTAGCAGCAAACCTAGGTACTCGTTAAACCTAATGTTATTAAAATATATTTAATTGAAAATTAATTAAGACAAATGGAAATTCGCTTAGTCGACAGGTTTGCTGTGGCAGGGGTATTTCATTTAACTACAATCATAATATTAAAGTAACCAGAAAAGATTACGTCCCCATTAACTGATAACATTAATTGTCCCCAACTTTCATGTAAAGACTCTTCTTTGATTTTAGCGCCATCATCTAAATCAAAATTGGCATATCAATCCCATGATGAGATTAGTCTTAGCAAATATAATTATTTTAGGGAGCGTGTCAAGCACGGCCTCCATTAACTCAAGGCCGTGGCCTTCGAAATGGCAACATCGAAAAGTAGTGTTGTAACAGCTGTTTTGTTTGGAGGAAGCTAATGGTATTTGTGATTTTTTTAAGAATAAGAAAGCTTGGTTACTGGGCTCTGAAAATATTGACTCCACTTTAAAAGTGCAAAAATAGATTTTCAATTTAAATATTGTTTTGATTTTCAAATTTCAATTCTATGTTTTATTTTAATTCCTTTTGTAAATTTACGTTCATAAACTTAAATTTAGCTGGTTTTACCTGTCTCTGTCATGTTATCTTATGACAGTCTGGGGTCAGACTGGACGTCTGGGTCTGGCACTAGACAACACTACTTGCAATGTTGCCAATTCTACCAGGCCGTGGCCTGGAGTGTAAGGTAACCGACTAACCGTGGTCAAGGAGCCAACACGTCCACGTCTATAAATTGCATTGCCTATAAATCTAAAAGGGAGCATGTTTAATGTATAGCATTAGCATTGAATGCGATTTTTATAGCAATACATTTGACCACGAATCAAGAATAATACTTGCTTGCTGCATACTCAGAAGGCCAACTGATCTATTGCCAAATTTGGCATTTCGACTTTTTCAGCCTTAAAAGTCAACGACTCTTTACAGAGGTTGATGTTGAATGGAATAACATTATAAAATTGGTAAATAGTTTGGCGATGTTTTATGAGTATCTAGCAGAGTTTGTAAGTTAGTTGTGGGCAGGCCTCCAGGCACGGCCGCTTTTAACTCCAGGCCACGGTTAAAGGCGACCTTCGAAGTGGCAACGTCGCAAGTAGGGTTGTAACAGCGGGTTTGTTTGGAAGAAGCTAATGGTATCTGTGTATTTACGAAAAGCTTGGTTACTGTTCTATGAAAATATTGACTCCGCTTTAAATGTACTGATATAGATTTTTAGTTCATATTGTTATGGTTTTAAATTTTGTGTGTTTTAAGTCATTTTCAATATTTTAATAAATTTATGTTCATAAATTTTAATTTTAATCAATTAAGTGCGAATTAATGAGCTGGTGTCACCTGTCTGGTGCCATGTTATCTCATGGGACGTCTGGTGCTAGACAACACCACATGCGACGTTGCATTTGCAAATTCTACCAGGCCGCGGTCTGTAGTTAAAGGTGGCCGTGTTGTAACCCACAAAATCAACCCAGAAATTTACATGGTTATGAACTTTGGTTTGCTTAAGCAATTTTATGCATTTTTTTAAAACGCCAATTAATTCATTCAAATTGTTAACACACAAAACGATGCATTAAGGCTGCTTAGCAAATGAACCTTAAATATTGATCTTAACTACAAAATAGGTGCAACATCTTTTCATTTTCCTACTTTGGCAATATAAGTGTACTGTATTGTATTCACTACGTATTACATGACTTATTATTGGAAAAATCAAATATCTCTGAAAACTGAAACTGAAATTGCCAATAATGATTTCCTTTATTTGACAAGCACCGCAAGCACCCTAACCAATGACTACATACTCCCTTGTGTTGGTTAGTCTATGATTGATTATACAGTCAATGGTCTAACTCAGCACTCGAACTCAGCAGACAAGACAACGGAAAAAAACCAACACACACAGCAGGGGTCTGACTTAGGGGAGGTACGAATGAGGCATTAGTTCAAAATTCCTCCGTGAACAGCGCTGTAGTAGAGAGTACTTTGGCAAAGAAGGTTTAGGCTAGGGCCACACTTGGCGACTTTGTCGCGGCGACAAAGTCGCTGCGTCAATGAATGAAAGTGCGTAGCATTAAATTAAATGGAGGCGGCCTCACTAAGCGACTCGCGACCAGCGACCACCGACGACAGCAAAACAAACGCGACCGGGAGCGTTTTTCGGTCTCGGCGACAAATACGCTTCCCATGTTATCTTATAGCACCGGCCATACCAGGCGACAAGTCGCTCGCTCACACACCCTTTGCTGCTCTATTTTCATAGTGTACAGTTATGGACTGGATTTGTTAAATGATAAATATGCTCTTTAAAATACCAATATTGTCATCGACAAAATAAGTGTTGACATGTTAACATGTGTGCTGTAGAATATAGAATGAGATTTAACTCTTCTGGTATAACAAGAATCCAAAACCTCGTGTATTTTTCAAATGTTGTGCGTCGTCTTCAATGTCAATAGCTCGCCAAAGCTATGTTCATCCAAAATATTACTAAAATTTACAAAATTAAAATACGCCATCCATAAACGATAGTTTTAGGGAATACACTCCATACCTGTGTTTTCTCTTCCTTATAGCGAATTTTCGCTATAGGGAATAAGCCCTTAGGTTGCATGGTAAGACCTAAACCCGGGACCGATTTGATATTTCATTTTGAGGTCCACAGAGGCAAAAACAACCACCGTTCAAATTCATATATACGTATATATAGGTACACATTTACATATACAGTGTATACATTTAGGTCTATGTGCCAATTTAGCGCGATAACTTGAGCAAAAATGATGAGATTTTAGCCGAATTTGGTACAAATGTTAAAACCAACGTTAATTCAAACGTGCTCGCAAATCAAAATGATCGGACCATGGGAATGGGAGGTTTAAGGGGCTTTAATGGGGTATACAATTTTTTTTTGACCCTTAAACATAAATTTCGCAATTTCCTTCCAAACTGTTTTGTTGAGCTAAACAAAATATTTTGTTAATTGAAGCGTTGTTGTAAACCTAACGGTTACAGAGATAATTTAAACAATTGTAAATTTAAAATGCCCATTTTGATGAAGAATAAACTGTTTTAGTTTGCTTGTTTATGGATATATTTTCATAAATTATAACAATATTTTAATAAATATTTTTAATTTCATACTAAGCCATCAAAATTTAAATTAACAAGCACACCTCATTAGGTTACCTTATTTGTCACAGTAAACCTAAGCATTCATTTAAATTCATCTTATTTAAATAGGAAATAAATCCAACAAGTTTAAAGTGAATATTTTTGTGGAAATCTAACCAAACAAATGTAAATTCGCTTAGTCTGCAGGTTTGTTGTGGCGGGGGTATTTAGATATAAAATAAATAGCAATAGCAAGTATTAAACTGTGATTTGACGACGTAGACGTCCACATTGGTTTTCAAAACATTGTTTATCAAATTAATTTAGTAAAAATTGTATTTCTTTTAATGCAGGCAAATGGTTAAAAACTATTACGTGACCTAGTACGAAATATAAAGAGGCGCCGTTGCACGTATGAAAATACTATAACGATATGATTTAATTTGTAGAAGATTCACTTAAACCTTATGGTATTGCAATTAATAATAAAAACATCGATTTATTCTAAGGTGGCCAAAAAACATACAAAAACGGTCATAGATCCTAATTTATTTCCATATCAATGACACGCTTTTGAAAATACAATGTAACATCTCGAAACTCTTTATTTACTGTTATGGTAAAAACGTAAACTGAAAGGTCGAAATTGTCGCCTATTGTGGCCACCCCCAGCGACCTTGTCGTCGCGACAAAGTCGCGGGAAAAAAAGTCGCCGCGACAAAGTCGCCAAGTGTGGCCCTAGCCTTACTAATCGCAAAAATAGTTCTGTTCATAAAATAAAATTATAAATGCCTCAAATTCAATTTTATTATTTTTTAATTATAAAATTAAACTATCATAACCTAACCGAACTAACCAAACTTGCTGATAATGAAATAATATAACAAAAGTTTATTAATAGAAAAAAATAATTCTGTTTATTAAATAAAACTAGAAATTGCTTTACTAAAATTTTATAATGACTTAATAATAAAATTAAACTGTCATAACCGAACCAAACCAACCAAACTTGCTGATAATAAAAAATCTTGGACAAAAAGTTAATGCCACGAGCGGGATTTGAACCCGAAACACCTTCAGCATATCAGCCCGGCACGCTAACCATTAGACCACCGAGGCCGATGTTTACTGATCTTTTTGTTACGATAATGGCGTTCCCTCAGCTAAAGAAGCCCACAGCTGTCATCGTAGCCTCTTCTATACCTCCCCTGAATAAACAGTGTTGCCAACCAACCTCTTTGATTTTCCCCGCACGAAACGACGGAAATCCTCGATTTTCCTCGCAAGGATTCTAAAATTACTCGCAAAATCCTCGTTAGCATCAAAGATTAAAATAATTTGAAATTTCCCCATATTTACATGATAATATACGTTTCCACGTTTTCTTTTTTTACTAGAGGTGCAAATAACCAAACATAGATGCGTAGAGGTCGTACGGAACGAGGTGAAGCTTGGAGGGGAATAGTGGTGTGGTGGGGGAAGTGTCGCTATGCGAGGCGACGATCGGCTCGTCTCCTACCCCCACCATGGATTTCCCCGCTTTAGACCGTTCCCGCCGAAAATCTCAGGCTTCACCTCGTTCCGCACGACCTCTAACCTATTGTACTTTAAAAATTATGGGTTTTGTTAAATAGCATGAGTGTGGTCTAGCCATAGACCAACCAACACAATGGAATTATATTTTTCTATGATTTAACGCATGCATTATAATCAATGGTAAAAGTAGGTTTTCCATCCCTGAACCCTGACTCTTTGTCAAATCTGAATAAGTACTTGTACTTGTAGGTGGTCTTGGTTAATTTGTGGGTGTGCTTATGTCAACGTCGAAATTCTTTAACAAATTATAAACAATTTTTTTTATTTTTTATTTTAGGGTATAATAACTCACTCAAGGTTATATTAAATCACGGCCGCCTAAATAAGAAAAAAAACCTGTGTTTATACGGTACCTGAAAAAATACTTTATAAATTATATCATACTTATAACCTTCATTAATAATAATAAATTAGTTATTAGCTTTAAAAATTAAATTATAAATCATTCAGATGGAGAAGACACCTAGGTACGTATTTTTACTCAAATTCGAGTGAAAGATGAGTGAGAATGGTGTGAGATGATCTGTGTAACTTTATTACTGATGACAAAGCTAACTTATTTCATCAGACAGGATAATTGATTTTAAACCCAATCATAATGAACAGCTGAGTAGTAAATCATAATTTGTTAGGTTTTAATAATTTCACTACGTAGGCCTAATTACAAGAAAATTTGAACTGAAGGCAACCAACAAACGACAAGTTTCTGTACAGGTGGAAAAGCTAAAAAAAAGGTAGGGTAGTTTGTTGTTAAACACACATCGGTCCCAGTCATATCCTAATAACAATAGTTCAATTCGAATTCACGTTCGCTTCATGATTACAGACTTATAGCACGCAGCTCAGCTGAGCTTACATGACAGCGACAGCTGGAGCTGAGCATAGAATTACTTCACTTCACTTCACCTCAGTCCAGTTTCCAGTTCGGCAGTTAGTTCTAAGTGCACCCTCATTTCATCGTCTTCTTCTTCATCTACTTGTTCTTAGATCTTGATTGGTTGATTGATTGGTTGATTGACTTTTTTCAGTTGCGGAAACTGTTCTTTCAATGATTAGATTCAGAGGGATTTTCAATATATTTTTAAAGAGACCCAGGCACTGAGAATACTCGATTATCAGAAAAATCCTAGTTGCTTTACCTGAAATCCTCGAAAATACTCGCAAAATCTGAATCCTCGCATAAATCCTCTCCTCGCAGGGTCTGGAAATCCTCGAAAAACGAGGATTTTCCCCGCAATTGGCAACACTGTGAATAAATACCACACAGCAGTCTCTGTTCTGTTCTGTCATTCTCGTTCTGTCGTTCGTCCACACAGCACAAACAAACACAAAGTGTCATTTTAATAAGCAGCCATCCATAGCTTAGGTTATGTGAATATGAAAACCAAGACTAAGTTATTAATTTTAATTTTATTAAATCAGATTCAAAGCACAGAATTTTGACAAATTATATGGTACAATTGACTTTTTTACCTAGGCCTAAATCTTCCTTTGATTAATTTAGTTAGCAAAAAGTATTTTTTCACGATGATTTACGGTGTTTACATAGTTTCCAAATCTGGAGGGCTGATATTTAACTTAGATCATAATGTTCCTAAAATTGAAAATGAACACACATTTAGTTATCCTTTGGATTTAAAGTTAATTTTTGAGAACAAATGTGTCAAAGTCTCATTTGGGCAAAGAGATGGAATAATGGGTAAGTTTAAGTTAAAGTAAACATAACACTAGGCCTACCTAAGTTAATTGCGGTTAGTTCTATTAAACCATTTAATAATAATACACAATCATGTTTACTAGAGCCTAGCCTATGGGGTGGGCCAATCTTTGTCATCCACATCTGATGTATTTACCAAAAATATCAATCCAAAAACTATCAGCTGTTTTAAGTTACTAGGTATTATAATTAGGTTACTGTACTCTGTCTCTATAACTTACCTTTGATAAAATTATGTAGGAAAAGAATGCTTTCAATATTAGAGCAACTTGGGCCTAATAACAGTTCAAATCATGATAAGCAATAAACTTGTGTGTTGTCATTAATTTATATTACAAAATCGCTACCGGTAACTTAAGTTACGTTCATATTACACGGAGGCTGCCCTTATACAGCGCGCTGCGGCGGTTGTGTTATGTTGGGCTATCACAAATTTTTTATGACTCATCTGGTATCGTTCAATTCACAACGAAACGAGGAAAGTCCTACAAACATTTATGATAACCCAACCTAACATAACTGCCACAGCAAAATGTAAAATAAGTGGCCTCCATATAATACGAAAGTTCTATAAAATCAAATAGGCTACAAAAACATGCCGATTGCAAATATTGCTAAAATCGGTAGCCTAACAAAATTAATTTAAACATTTGAGTTGTGAAAAATTTAATCCGTTCGGGGTAAGATTTCAGAGGGGTAAAATTCTGGCTGGCCAACACTTACTTACGTAGGCTACTTGTTATTTGAAGTAAGCCCGTTAGAAGTGCATTCGCACCATACTTTTGTCATAGGTAATTCTACATCATATTCTTCCAGATGCTCTTTTATGCTGTAATATTGCTTTGCCATCAGATACTACTTTAATTGTTGCTTAAATCGGTTTAAATCTTGAATATCTTTAATACCTTCTGGTACTTTATTGTATACCTATTTTAGCCTAAGTAAGTTGTATTAGGCTATAACTTACTAGGCAACTATTTTTCATTAATGTTGACTTTACTTGTGGAACAGAATATGGCTATTTTTTTTTTGTCTGGCGTTGTATTCGTGCATTTATTTGTTACTTAACACGTTGGGTGCTGATGACGGGAATTCCCGCAATTGCTTAACATTGAAATAAATGCAACTTTTATGTTCAAACATGTCGACCGCACGAATAGTGTTAAAACATTCTGGTTTTCTTCTTAGCAGGACTGCTGATTCTAAAACCAAGGCTGAAGCTAATGTTGGAACGTTCAGTTGCTGAAAGATAGGCATTCAGTGGGCTATTAAGATCTTCAAATCCAATCAATTAATTTATTTAGCCAGAATATTAACAAAACAAGTTGCATTATAGCTAAGTCATAACATTGTTTTTAAAACATGCCTTACAGAGGTCTATAAATATAAACAGGAATTTACAAAATGGCTTACATAATACTTATAAACAATATCAGAGACATATAAATCAATACTTACAATAGCATTCTTAGAGCTGATAGTTAGGAATTTTTGGACGCTGTAAGAGGTAGAATTTATCAAAAGAGATTTTAGTCGTTTTTAAGATTTTAAAAGGTTTGGTTCTAGCTTAAGAGAAAGTGAATTGGAAAGCTTAACGCCATTGTACTGTAAGTGTCTTTTGAAAAATGTTGTAGAATGTTTAGGGATTGGTAATGTGTGTAAGTTTCACGATGTGTAGTGGTTTTTACAGAAATGTTAAATTGAGAAAGTTCTTGTTTTACAAATGTTAAGAAATCAAGAATTAAATAGATGGAAATGTCTAAAATTTTGAATTAGCAACATATTTACAGGATTTATGCTTTTGCAAAGAGAAAATAGTCCTCATAGCCATTTTTTAAGTTTAAACGAAATGTTGGTCTGCTGGCACTCATTCCCCAAATAGGAACGGCGTATGCTAAATGGGGACCATAAATGAGCCCATAGTATGCAGTCAGCAGTACATCCAGATTTTAAAACGAAAATACCAGAGCTAAGTTTCTTTGCAATGTGTTTGATATGGTCATGAAAACTAAGTCTCTCATCTAAGATCAATCCAAGGAACTTGACATTTGGTGTTGGGTGAACTTCGGTTTTGTCCAGAAGGAGACTAAATCTTCTATTTGATTAATGGAAGTTAATGAATTGTGTTTTGTCTGTGTAAAAAAAAAATAATATATCTTAGAAATAGACACTATGTTCCAATAATATATAGCAGGTTCTCTGCGGAACTGTGTCCATACCATCAATGTGCGTGCCAGTATGCTTGAACTTCCATGCCGTAATACTAATTTGATAACTTATTTTCATGAGTAGACCTAGCCTATTTGTAATATGGATCCTTACATTTCGTTCCAGTTGGCCACGTTCTGATAGCTGTCAATGGAATCCCAGTAACAGGAAAGCAGCTAGACGATGGACGAGACGCGTTGGAGATCATTGAAAACAAAGATAGCTACCCTTTACGACTCAGGTAGATAACTTTAATAAGATCATAGTGAGCCGACCCCTCGCACCGCCCCCAGACGAACAACTATTGGAAGCATGCCCCCCATAGTGACAGTGCGAGTGGCCGCCCCACATCCCTAACAAAAATGAAAGGCCGTGGGTGAATATCAAAAAACAAACAGTTGTCAACAAAGCCTATATATTTACAAAAAAAATCAACAAATAACAAAACATCCATCCAAAGAATTTCTTTAAATAAGCTTTCTCAAAAATTTAATTAAAAAAAAATGATTTTAGGTTTACCCTTCTAAACTTACAAATACTGGTACCAGTAACAGAAAAATAGGCCTAACAACGAATAGATTAAAGACGGTAACAATTAATATTAAACCTTTAAAAAATCAACAATTAAATGAATAACAAGTGACTAAAAATAAATAACAATGGTAAATAATTTGGGGGCCCCATTGATGATCAGTCCTTTTCAAAAAACTTTCATTAATTACAAATATAACTTGCGGTAATGGTCACTGGTCACTCTGGTCGCTTCAACTAGTGGTGGGTGGCGGTGGTGGTAGAAGGCGGATGGTGGCTTGAAGGTGTAGTGTGTCCCACTGGTCCCAGGAGCAGGGTGACTGGCAGCCCGAAGAGGGAGAAGGTGTAAGGTCTCCCCGGGCGACCCTCTCCGGAAGCGGCGGAACAAAACCTCCCATCCGGGACCCTTTGAACACATTCCAGGCCTAACTAATAATAGTCCATATAACTGGAGTGTAACCTTAGGCCTACCTAGCTTTTCAAAAAATAATTCCAAAAAACAATTTCCGCACCACTCGTTTACTGACCAAAACTATTACAAATGATTTTATTAATAAATATTCTTCTTTTGAATTTAGGCTTTCATTTAAAACTGTCTAGAAAGTTAGAATGAGAAAATTACTATAAATAAATTAATTCAGTTGAATAAAGCTTTAAAAACACAACAATAAATAGAATTTTAAATTTTACAAACTTAACAACACATTCTTACAGACATTTTCCATAAAAATTGAAGTTGACAATAAAAAATATAAATTATCTGGTCCAGAAGGGTAAAACACATTAATCAAGCACAAAACAATTACATAAATACTACAATAAACACTTCGAAAAACAGTTCCCACAAAATATTAAAAATTCTTTGGCTGGAGGTGCAATTTCAGGTAAAACCGGTAATAACTCTGGTTATTACCAACCAAATTTGCTCAAAAAGCTTTTAAAAGTTGTGGCACAAGTGCCCGCAGCTTTTAAAAGACAAACCCATGCCTACCAACTAGCCTGAGGCCAGGTAGGGGGTCAGTTACCTACGGTCACTCAGAAAACAGAAATGCGCTAAGCTAAAACTTAAATAACTCGGTCATTTATCAACCAAACTTGAAAATTGCAGGGGACATGTAAGAGCACTAAAACTAACTAATTATGACCGAGCTTGGCCCCCAGGAGGTGCCATTACTTAACAAAAAAAATTTAGGCTGAGTGACATGGCCTACATTACAAACAACAAAAAAAAACACTTTTACAGGGGACAGAGGGACAAAATTTACATTAAACAACATGTAGGCCACAATAACAAGACAAAATTGAGCACAAACTAGGCCTTAGGCCTAATAATAAATTAACAGGGACACAGAACAAACGGACCCTAGCCCGCACAAAAGTGAGTTTCAAAAGCAGTTTTCTTGGATAATATCTGGCCTAGAGTCTCGGGGAAAGCTTTGAAAACTTGGCAACAACAAAAACTACTAAACTAACCAGAAAAACTTGTGGTCTGACCACACAAAGCTTGGCCAAAGGCCCAACAAAACTCTGTTCAATTTCAGGCTCAGAAATGGGTCTAGCGCCTTGAAAAACAAGTAATTGGTAATTAAAAGTAATTCCAATGCACAGAAGGTGCTTAATACTTGTTTTTCACTAGCCAAAACCCACTCAAAGCCTGCTCAACATGTGGCTGAAGGCCAAAACTAATTCAGAAACATTTTAACCTAAAACAATCAAAATAAATCAATCAACTTACTCATCTGACGACTGGCAAAACACTTAAATCATGACTTGAATTGACGACGAACAGAAGAACAAAATTAACAGTGACATTGAAGGATGAACACTGATATTCATCGAAGATAACCAAGTCTTGACAAATCGACAATCGCCGGCCTTCTGGTGAAAATGTGACAGAAGGCGGACATTGACTCTGGGTTGCAGGATTGCTGCCCGACCCAAACCGACTGAGTTCCGGCGCAAAGCCAGTACACGCACTATACAAAAAACACTGAGGCGTGACATTGGTGGGACGCTTGGTGGACATGTCACGGCTCAACCTCCCCCCCCAAAGGAGGACTTCCTCTCCAAAAAAAAGGAAAAAAAACCTCTCCCAATTCTAGAAGATCTCAACTACTCAACACCAACAGATCAACTCAAGTGTCTGAAGTGGGGAACGCCAAAAGTCTTTCAACTGGAGGGACTACTCACCCCCAGGGTTTGCACTGGCCAGTGCTGGAAAATTTACTAGGGAAAAATCTTCAGCAGCGCACAAGGGACAGAAGAGGTGATCAAGCTCTCTGGCCCAGTGCACTTCCCACTCAGACACAAGAGTAAATAAAGATGACCTACGGAATTGTTCCCCGGAAAGGCTTCAGATGAGAAATGTGAGCCCTCCGGAAAACTTCTCCAGTCTGCGGATCTCCCAGCCGCACGGAGACAGGAGTCAAGAACTTCAAGATGCGGTGGGGACCTGACCACCGATGAGACAACTTTGCGGCTCTCTTGTCCACGGCCGAACTGACCGGATGAGCCTTGCAGAAAACCAAATCCCCCACCTGGAAAGGATTGTCCAACCGACCTCGATTGTGCTTCCTCCGGACCAATTCCCTAGCCCTGATCAAGTTCCTCCTAGCCGCCTGCCAAGTTGCCTTGACATTGGCTGCACCAGGGGGTGGCAGAAGGTCACCAATTTTCCACACATTTGCCAAGGGATTATTGGGTGGATAGCCCAACAACAGCTCGAAAGGGACCGCCTTGTGACTCTCATGGTGTGCAGTGTTGAAAGCAAATTGAATCCAAGGAAGTTCCTGATCCCAGGTGGTCTGCTTGTCAGCATGAAAAGCTATGAGAGCGGATCGAAGATTTCTGTTGAACCTCTCAGCATGGGAAGGCTGTGGATAGTAAGGAGAAGTGGTCACATGGCGGATACCGTGCCCAAAGCACATTCTTTTGAAAAGGTGAGACACGAACTGAGTTCCGTTGTCGGAAACAATGGTGGCGGGTATTCCAAAGTGTTGGAACAAATGGGTACGAAGTGCCTGCACGGTGAGCTGTGCAGTGGCGTTCCTCAAAGGAAAAAGCCAACAAAACTTGGAGAAGGCATCCACACAAACAAGCAAGAATTTGTTTCCTGACTTGCTACGTGGGAGAGGCCCTACATAGTCTATGAAAACCTTCTCCAAAGGTCTCTCCGCCACCTCAGATGACAACAACCCATACTTGGTATTCTGAGCAGGCTTGCTTAGCGAGCATGTTTGACAAGAACGCACTCGTGCCGCAATGTCCCTGTCCATACCCTTCCAGATGAACATGTCCCTAACCTTCGCAATGGTCTTGTGAATCCCTAAGTGCCCACCCACAGGGGAAGAGTGAAAGTACGCAAAGACCATGGGTACAAGAAGACTAGGCAGCACAACCTTAGGTTTACCTCGCTGTCGGTCTCGACAACAAAGGGCACCCTGGGACAGAAAATATGGGGGGTGGGCTCCCCCATTTTGAAGCTCACCAATGATCTTAGCCAGCTCGGGATCTTTTAACTGATGTGGGATGAACTCAGAAAAGGCAAGGGGAAACTCCAGGAGCACGGCACACCCAGTGTGCTCCTCCTGATCAGAAGGTTGGTCGTCAGGTGAGTGATACATCCTTGATAAAGTGTCAGCAATCACATTCTGCGTGCCTCGAACATGTTGCACTTGGAATTTGGGGGAAGATATTTGGACCACCCAACGACCAATTTTCCCAAGCTGGCGAGGATGTGCAAGGAGCCACGAGAGCGCTTGGTTGTCGGTTTCCAGCAAAAACTCTTTGTGTTCCAAAAAACGTCTGAACTTATTCACTCCAAACACGACAGCCAAACACTCTAACTCATACACAGAAGAGCTTTTCTTTTCACATGGGTTCAAAGTGCGTGAGGCATACGCAATTGGCTGCCTAACACCATCTACCTCTTGAGACAACACAGCCGCAATGGCGACGGAGGAAGCATCGGTTTGCAAAACAAACTTTTGACTGAAATCTGGCATCGCCAAGACCGGAGGTTGCATGATAGCTTCTTTCAGAAGATCAAAAGACATCTGTTGTGCTTCACCCCAAACAAACTTGGCGCCCTTCTTCCGAAGCTCATTGAGAGGAGCCGCCAACTCAGCCACATTGGGGATGAAGCGCCGGTAAAAACCCACCATTCCAATGAAACGGGCAATGCCTTTGACATCTCTGGGAGGAGGAAACTCCCTGATAGCCTGGGTTCTAGCCGGATCGATACAGACACCTCGAGATGATACTAGATGACCTAGGAAAGAAATCTCAGCCTGAGCAAAACTAACTTTCTCGGGATTTACGGTAAGGCCAGCCCTAAGCAACCTATTCATGACTTCCTCAAGATGAACCAGATGGTCTTCAAAGCTCTCACTGTACACCAAAAGATCGTCAAGATAGTTGAACACAAATTTGAACTTGACGTCATGGAAAAGGGAGTCCAGAAGTCTGGTGAGGGTCTGGGCCCCCACAGCTAGGCCCATGGGTACACGTGTGAACTGGTACAAGTTCCACGGAACGCAGAAGGCAGTGAGAGGTCGAGATTCAGGTTTCAAGGGAATCTGATGGTAAGCCTGGTTCAAATCAAAGACGGAAAAATACTTGGCCTTACCGAACCAATCGAACGCAGAGTGCAAATCAGGGAGAGGGACAGAGTCAATTTCAATCTGAGCATTCAACTTGCGATAATCCAGA